CGAAGCTCGCACGAGAGGCAACCCCAACGCAGCATCTGCGTCCTTTTAGTGTACTGATTCGCGTCATCGGGGAGGTCGATATTTGGAACTCGTACAATGAGACCAATGCTGCGAATACTGTCACCGGTACGGCCCTATCGGCTTGTCTGTATGGGTGTTGTTGCCTTCCAGTTCTCTCTTTTGAACAGCATGGGTGCTCCGATGATGTTTCCCCTGATGTTCTCCCTGATGGTGTTCAGTCTTTAAACTGGCGCCGTCTTCTTTTAACAGCCCCCCTATGACACTTTGATGCTACATGAAGGCATCCTCAGCACGCCGAAGCCGAAGGGGGGGAATGCAACTACAGCACCCCATAACACCAAGGATCGGCATTATGACCATGACTAGCCTGACTGACATGTGCACATGTGCACCATATACCACACGGTGTGCATGACCCCTGTGCTCATGTGCCTGAGATGACCGCTGGGCTCTTCGACGACGAGGATACGTTCAAGCTCGATAGGTCTTACAAGTATGACTCATAAAAACCGCCCACAAGGACTGAGCACCTTTTGGAGCTACTAGCTTCTAAGCGCTATGATGTCATGGACACTGGCCTGCAGCATTCGTCCGTTGTCGAGCACCCGATGAACTCAGAGGCAGTGAAGATCCAAAGGAATCGGCTCTGGGACTTTGGTGAGCCTGCCTGGTATCTGCAACGCCACACACTCTCTCGACTGCACGATCTCCAGGCTGTAAGATGCACCGATTCTTGCTCTGACTATGGACAAACATCAATTGCTGTGGCAGCTGCATGCGCGATGCTGGTAGCTGTGGACACTGCAAACGTTCGCTTCTGATGCTGCTGAGGTGCTTCTGCGAGCGGCAATCCTGCCACTTCAGTTTTCGTGGCTCAGCACAAGGCAAGCTGATTGCTAAACCCCCCCACCAGCCCCTGCTCTGCTCATTTGGGGCGCCTGCCCCTCAGAATCACGAGAGTCTCGCGTTGATTGGGGGTTTCGTCTTGCAGACATCGGCAAACCTATCTCGCACCGCATTCCACGAACAGCCTACCTTGGTATCGTATATTTTCGAGTATATTAGCATCCGTAGATTACGAGAGCGCCTTGCAGATAGAGGGATGATGCGGTGGTCGATGTCCTTGGAACCCACCATTGAGCCGCAAAAACAGAAGCCTGAACGAAGCTTTGAGCTCAGAAGCG